AATGTTTTTCCTAAGGTAAGAAACTCAAGACTGAACACAATATTCCAAATGTGGCCTAACCAGTGACCTGTACAATGAAATTATAATATATTTAGACTTGTATTTAATATTTCTGTAGATACAACCTAATATCCTATTTGCCCTACCAATAGCAACAGCACACTGCTTAGATGGCTTAAATGACTGAAGAACTATTACACCAAGACCTGTTTCTTTCACGACACTGTTAAGGTTATTCCCATCCAAATTATACTTATAGCCACTCTTCTATCCAATTTGATAACTTATCCCTCACAACTCTAGAGATAATTTTTTACGAGTCCTTTATGTGGAACATTGTCAAATACTTTCTGAAAATCCAGATACACCAAACCTATACCCTTACCCTCATCTACATAAGCAGTAACCTTTTCAAGTAATGTCAAAATATGTGTAAGGCAAAATTTTCCCTAAGTGGAGCCATGTTGACTATCTAATAAAATTATTAACTTTGTTAAATGACTTTGCAAAGGATCTTTTAACAGACTTACCAAAATTTTCCCCACAACTGGTGTAAAACTAATGCATCTATAATTACTGGGACAATTTTTATCACCTCTCAAAAAAAAGAGAAGTAAATTAGCTAACTTCCAATCATCTGGTACCTGCCCACTATTCAAGGACTGACAAAAAATAGTAGTAAGTGGCTTACATATCCAATCTTTAACCTCCTTCAAAACCATGGGGGAAATATTATCTGGCACAGGAGTCTTATCTTTTTTTAAACTTCTCAATTTTTTCTTAACCAGCACAGCTTGATGTGTAAATAACATAGAATCCTTTACAACTAATTGACTATTTCTATATCTGAAAATGTACAAGTGAAGTTTTTTCTGTGATTTGAACAAGCAGTTATCATAGTTTATAAATGCTGAATATTGATATATTGAAAATTTAATCTGAAAAATGTTTCCACAAATATTTTGATAAGTACTTACGTAAATCCTCTCACTTATGGTATAGTTGCCTGGAAAAGAAAAAAACTAAAATAATCGAAAGATGTTTTAAAATACATACTAAAGATATGGATTTTTTGGTGCATTGGTTTTGGCAGTCGTCTGGTGGCGGGAAATTGAATTTTGGTGGATTGTACACAAAGAACGCAGCTTATCGTTCCTAAGCGTCTCTGGGAATTCAGAGTAATGTGATGATTTACTTAAAACTTATAATTGTATAGGCCTATAATGGGTTGATTATACTTCTAGTGTTATTAAGTAACTCGTGAAACACAATCATTTTATTTAGTTTTACTTGCGATTTTAAGCTAATCAATTCATGCATGTAATTTAAAGTAATACAGTTTTCGAAATGGACCGTGTGTATAATACCGTTAGTGCAGAAAACGGAAGAAACGACAAGAGAGACAGAAATGAAGCCAACAAAAGCAAGAAAACTAACGTCTTTAGGCCTGATTCTAAACCAGAGGCAGAGACTAGTTTTATTCATGGTAAGCTTAACGATGGTGAGTCTGAAGTTAATAACATGAGTTCATTTAGAAAAAAGAAGAAACTCTTGAAACTTGATGGACGAAAAGCACTTAGAAAGTATTACTCATTAGAAGGCCAAAATTTTTTTATTTGTATAAAGAAAATTACTGTGGTTAGTGAAGCAAACGTTGCCCAAACAGTTAAAGAATTAGGAGGAAAAGTGGCGAATTTTTTGAGCAGAGATGTAACATGTGTATTAACGGATATTGACTCTTCTGAGAAAAGTGGTGATTTCTCAGTAATGCATTGCCAGTGTGATAGTTCACCTATAGCAAATATTAATACTAATAGCAGCCCCCTTGGTGTAAATAGACAAATTACTCATCCGATTAGTAGAGGTCAGTCAATTTTGTTAAAAGCAAAAAGTCAAGTGAATTACAATCCTAAATGCAATAAGTGTGGAAACTATAACAATGGCCTTCAGCATGCATTGGCACTTGGCATAAAGATATGGAACTTGAAAGATTTCTTTAGCTGGGTTGACAATGGAGTAAAAGCACAACAATTAAATAAATTAAATAAGAATCAGAATGCAAGAACTATTAAAAATTCTGAACCAAAGCTTTTAGGAAACCCAAGTATTAAAGTAGAAAGTTGTGGCAGAAAGCATAAACCATTTTATAAAGTTTTTTCTAGTGAACCTACAATTTTTGTGGAGCCATCATACAAAGGAAGCCCGTTTGAGAGTCCCTCTGACCAGTCTTTCAGAGAAAAGCCCATGTTGTTAAATCATAATGGAGAAGATAAAACTGAAGTAACTTCTTCAGCAGTGTTAAAGAAAATGACTAGTTTTTTCAAAGTAGTGAAAGAAAATAAAATAGTTCAGAAAGATAAAAGGCAGTTCTGTGAGTGTTGTAAGTCATGGTTCTACAACTTGCAACAACACTTATTCAGTAAAAAACATAAAGAGTTTATTTCAAATCATACAAACTTCATTTTTCTCAAGGAAATTGTCGACACTTTTCCAGACATATTACATTTTTCAGAAGATAGTAATGAAACACAGTTTCAGTCATTTGAAGCCACTAGGAGTATCAGACATTCATTATCTGATTCAGAAACATTTCATAGAAATAATGATTGTGAACCCCAGAAAAAGAAAAATTTCATTCAAACAGATAACCCTGAAGAAATTGATAAAACTGGCCATGTTGAAGATGTACTGGAACAGGATATTTGTGGAGAAAGATGCAAACCTGAAACTATAAATATTGATAAAAATGCTGCAGATGGTGAATTAAAGAACTGTATTTTCAACAATGAAGTTAATGATTCAATATTTGAAAATGAGATCAGTCAAATCTCCAATATTGGGACAGAAAATAAGTATGAAGGTGTGAAAATCACAAAAAAAGAAGACAGTGATGTTGAAGCTAATGGAATTTTAGATATAGAGTCACTCCTAGAACCACTTGACATGGACTTGCAACTTTCCATTCCACCATCTGAATTTTTTGACACTGACTTCCAGAATGGTAATGAAACTACTAAGCACCTAATGTTTGATGACAATAACGAAGTTATATTAAATCTTCTTGAAGATTCTAACCACATATTGGAGACTGATAATTTCTCTGTAACAAAAAGGAATTGCATGCAACTTGAAGAGCAAAGAAATTTTGAGGATAATGTGACAAATACAGGTTATGTTGATAATATTCAAAGTACAGGTCATCTGTTAATGCAACCAACTTCTGGCTCATATCCTTCAAAAGAACATCTTGCTTTATCAGAATTAACTTGTCAATCATTGAAAGTCTTCAATCATCATAACATCACAGACATGTGTGATGTTGATATAAACTTTAGTAGTAACAATTCAGAAGGAGAGTTCTCATTGAACATCAGTAACCTAATCAATAGAATAAATTATGAAGTACAAGATGAAACAAAAGTATATTCAAATGTTTTTCCTCCTGTAAAACCAACAGAAAATAATCCAGATATGTGGAATGAACTTTCACCTGAGAAATTTTCAGCTAAAGAAGATTTCAGAGAATGCCCAACCAAAATTACCAATCTTGCTGTAAATAATGGTATAGAAAGGATATTCAAAGACACCGTGGAATTTGAAGATAAAGTTAAGGATATGAAAGGTAACACCTACATACAGATTGCACAGAGAGATGAAAATATTAACAGATGCTTAGAACGTGAAAAAACTTCTTTGGAACACTTGCAGAATGATATAACAGATAATGCAACCAACTTTGTACAACGAGTTAATCAGCCAAATTTCTCACCCAGCAGAGAATTTAATAGTAATCAGCATGATAACCATACAGGTTTGGTCATTAATGGATCGGTTAATACTGTTCAGCAAAACAACCAGTTAAGTTTGTTGTCAACAGTAAACAGTGGTCCACAAGATAGTCTGTCATTATGTTTACCTGACAAAGGATCTGATATTAAGCAAAATAATGAGTTACATTTGTCTAACAGAGAAGCTGATTGTTTTAAACAAAATAGTCAGTCATATTTGTCATTCAATAAAACAAGTGATAGTGTTAAGGAAAACAATCAGTTATGCGTTTTGTCTAACGGAGAAACTGATGTTATTTGGCAAAATACCCAGACAAGGTTGTCGTTTAATAGAGATTCAATAACAGACACTGTTATTCAAAGCAATCAATCAAAGCTTTTATCATACACAGAATTAGATAATGATTATCCAAACAAAAACATCAATTCTTTTGACATCAAAACTGGTAATGTTCAGCAAATCAATAAGATTTCAAGTGCAGAAAATGGTAGTACACAGAAAAACAATCGGCTGTCTGATAAAGAACTTGATAATACTGAACAGAACAATCAACCAGGAATTGGTATTGGGCATCAAAACAGTTACCTGTCTAATAAAGAACTTGATAATACTGAACAGAACAATCAACCAGGAATTGGTATTGTGCATCAAAACAGTTACCTGTCTAATAAAGAACTTGATAATACTGAACAGAACAATCAACCAGGAATTGGTATTGTGCATCAAAACAGATATTTGTTTAGCAGAGGAGAGGATCAACTGTTCAACAGAGAAGCTGTTGATGGTCATTCAAACAATCATTTGTTTAGCAACGAAATTGATAGTGATAAAAAAATAAATCAACTATTCATGGGAAATACTGATAATCCTCAACAGAACAGTCAATCATGTTTATTACCTTCAAATAATACTGATGATATTAATCTAAACAACCAAACAGGTGCATTATCTGATAGTTTAGTTGTGAATATTCAACATAACTACCTAAATCCTTTTATCAGCTCAACACATTTTGGTCAAACAAATTCAGAGTTGGGTTTATCCCAGACTAACACCTCATCTGACAATAAATATTATAAAAACAAGTGGAGTGTAAATGTTAAGTCCTCTGACACATTGCACTTGGTATTTACTACTAGTCAGAAGAGAAACTTACAAGATATAATTTCTGAAGACATGGCCATAACAGATTTTCTTGATAAAAATAACACTAATAGTGATCTCATTGAGGAAAAGTGGGATCCTTCTAGTGACACTAACTCCTATTTATCATCATCTTCCAGTGATAATGAGAGTACTTCAGAATGGTGTGTTCAACATGTAAAGGATACCAAATTAAAGCTCTGTAAAACAAAAAATTTATTAGAAGATAGGTCTTTGTCAGTCCCTAAAAAACGTCGAAAGTATATATGCTATTATTAAGAATGTTTTCCAAATACTTCATTGACTGCACAACTGTATCAACAACTCTAAAATAAATAACATTTTAAGGTATTTATTCTGGTATCTATGGTTTGCTTTAGCAACTCAACTGGGCTTGACATATTTAAAGTAAAAATAAATAACACAAAATAAATGATATTTGCACTGCTATATCTAAACACCACATACATTCTGTGATTTAACTCGGATTTTGCATAGCAAATAACATGTTAACTATATGCAATAAACCTGTAGAATATTGTAAACATATCAAAAATGATTTTACATGCAATTATAATAGAGTATTGTAATTATCATTAATGTGCAGGAGAGATTAAATAGATTTCAGTAGGTGCTAGTATTTCATATATGGCAAAATGTTGAAATTTTAAAAAATTGATAGCTCCTCCACCACCACAACAACAATACCAGTGATTTTTCTAAGCAAATGAAACAAAATTTTTAAGTTGGTTTTCTTTTTTTAACAGTTGTTGAAATTTCTAATATCTCATGTTTATTAATATTGACTAATAGTCTGAAAATATATATCATTCTTATCTAATAAATTAAGCTGAATTTGATTTATAACTAGGAAAATACCAATTGTTTGAAATATCAATTTAGTTCTAAGATGTAGCATTCTAAAGATTGATTATTAAGCTGAGGCGTGTTTCATAGTAAGATCACAGTTAAAATCTAGGAAGTAATGTAATGCCCATACAATATTTTTTATATTTATTTTTTGTATAAAATATTTACTGGTTGGTATAAATGTGGATTTTGTTTTAATGGAAAAAAATATGTTCTAAAATCTGTTCTCAGGGACTTGCAATTTGTATACAACTGTGTACACGCATGTGATTGTAAAATTTCAAATTGTGTCTATTAAATTTTAATTTTATTTTGTGAATTTGCACATTTTTTATCCAAGGTATTAACCAAACTTTATTCCCATCTGTATGCTTTACTTCTCCCTCTATACATATGTATATGATGGGGTGTAGTTTATTGGAATGAAATATTTTTTCTTTTTACTGACTGTAAACTTAAACTATGTATACAGTTGTTGATAAGTGCTACAGTGTGTATTACTGAAATATATTGATACTTTAATCTCACTTGTATTGGTATAAAATGTGTGTATATTTTTTAGTATTTAAATAAAAGATTGTCAATATTAAGTTCAAAGTATTTATTTTCTTGTGAAAGTTTTAAAACGTAGTTGTCATAATCATATTTAAATTATTAACACAAAAATGTGAAGTTTCAAATATTTTAATCTCAAATAGATATTTGAGTTCATCTCTTTAAATCTTGTTTGAAAACTATAAATACAAAAATGTACAAGTAGTACATACTGTAAGTAGAATATTTAAGTTTTATGTGCCATTTTTCAGTAAGTTTGTTAGATATTTAAGTGGTACTTTAAATATTAGGACACACAGAACTCTAAAATAATATAACTGACAAATAATATATAGATTTCCTGTTGTCTTTGTATGGATTTCTGTTATAAGTCAATGTTACCTATCTCCAGATGGCTCAGCAGTAAGCTTGAGGCTGGATCTTTGTACTGGGCACGGCATAGGCAGTAAATTATGCAGCTTAATGTTTAACAACAAACAAACATCGGTGTTACCTATAGTTTAATTTCATTCAATGAAACATCAGTTTACATTCCAATTTCTAATGAACATGTAACTCATTCAACCATTTTACTACCATATTCAGGTTCCAATACTCATGCTACTATATTATAATTATTAACAAGACCTCTAAAACAGAGTTGTCAAATGCATATGTTAAGTAATCCATATCA